CTGGGTACAACAGGCTGTACTTTAACTGCTAAGTGGAGCCACACCTCATGAAAAATCAAAGCCCAGAGGCTGCTCCTCCCTTCCCGGTCTTTGTTTAATGTTGGTGTGTGGTATGCACGTGCGTGTGTTTAAATTAATAGATTTTTATCTTTAGAACAGGTTGACAGAAAATTAAGCGGAGTGTGTACTACAGAGAGTTCCCAGATACCCAGCTCTCTCCCTGCTCAGTTTCCTCATTATTAACATCTTACATTAATGTAGTACACCTGTTACAACTGATGAGCCAACAGTGACACATTAACTAAAGTCCATAGTTTACATTAGGGTTCACTCTTTGTGTTGTATGTTCTTTGGGTTTTGACAAATGTATAATGGCATAATCACCATTACAGTAACATACTGAAGAGTTTCATGGCCTTAAAATCCCATGCCCCAACTATTCATCCCTTCCTACCTCCCTCCAAACCCCTGCCAACTACTGATCTTTTCACTTACTGTCTCTATAGTTTTGCCTTTCCTAGGAGGTCATATAGTTGTAATCATGTAAGTATGTGGTATTCTCAGACTTCTTTCATTAAGCAATGCGCATTTAAGGTTTAGCCATGCCTTTTTGTGGCTTGAGAGCTCATTTCTTTTTATTACTGAATAACACTCCATTGTACAGATTGCCACACTTTATTCTTTCACCTTTTGAAGGACATCTTAGTTGGTTCTAGTTTTTTGAAATCACAAGCAGATATAAACATTCATGTGCAGGTTTTTGCGTGGACATAAGTTTTCTATTCATTTTAGGTAAATATACCTTGGAGCATGATTGCTGGATTATATAGTAAGGCTATGCTTAGCTTTGTGAGACAGCCAAACTGTCTTCTAAAGTGACTGTACCATTTGGCACTCCCACTAGCATTGAATGAAGAGTTCGTATTGTTACATATCCTAACATTTTGTCAGTGTTTTGGTTTTTGCCATTCTAGGAGTTTAGTGGTATCCGATTGTTTTAATTTGCAATTCCTTAGTGACAATATGATGTTGGACATCTTTTCATGTGCTTGTCAACTGTGTATCTACTTTGGTGGGGTGTCTATCCCATTCTTTTGCCCAATTTTTAATTGCATTATATACTTTGAGTTTTAAGAGCTCTTTGTTATGTTTCGGACACATGCCCTTTGTCAGATGTGTTCTGTAAATATTTTCTCCTAGTCTGTGGCTTATCTTTGCACTCTCTTAATGTCCTTCATAGAACAAAAGTTTTTAAACTTTCATGGATCGTATTTGTGGTGCTGTATCTAAAAAGTCATCACCAAACCCAAGGTCATCTCGGTTTTCTCCTGTTTTATAAGTTTTATATCTTACATTTAGGTCTGTGATCCATTTTGAGTTAACTTTTTTTAAATTAAAGGTATAAAATCTGTCTGGATTTATTATTTTTTTGCATGTGGATGTCTAGCTATTCCAGCACCATTTGTTGAAAATATTCTTCTTCCTCCACTGAATTGCTTTTGTTCCTTTGTCAAAGATCAGTTGACTATACTTGCATGGGTGTATTTCTGGGCTCTCTAATCTGTTCTATTGATCCATCTGTCTATTGTTTTGCCAATGTCACAATGTCTTGTTATAGCTTAATAGTAAGTCTTGAAGGAGTGCCTGAGGGGCTCAGTCGGTTAAACACCTGCCTTCTGCTTGGGTCATGATCCCAGTCTGGCGTAAGGCTCCTTGCTCAGCAGGGAGTCTGCTTCTCCCTCTCCCTGCCACTCCCCCTGCTTGTATGCATGCTCTCTCTCTGTCAAATAAATAAAATCTTTAAAAAAAAAAAAAAGTCTTGAAGTTGGGTAGTGTCAGTGCTTTGATTTCTTTTTCCTCAGTATTGTGTTGGCTGTTGCAAGTCTTTTGCCTTTCCATATAGTATCATTTAGTCAATATCTACAAAATAATTTTCTGGGATTTTGTTTGGGGTTGTGTTGAATCTACAGATCAAGTTGGGAAGAACTAACATCTTAACAATACTGAGTCGTCCCACTCATGAACTTGGAATGTCTTTCCATTTATTTAAAACTTCTTTCTTATCAGAGTTTTACAGTTTTTCTCATATAGATCTTGTTTATATTTTGTTAGATTTATTCTTAAGTGCCTCATTTTTGGGGATGCCAATATAAATAATATATTGCTTTAATTTCAAATTTCAATTGTTCCTTGCTGATATAAAGTAATTGACTTCTATATATTAACTTTGGATCCTGTGACCGTGGTATAATCATTTATGAGTTCCAGGAATTTGTCAATTCTTTGGGATTTTCTACATAGACAATCAGGACATCTGTGAAAAAAGACAGTTGTATTCCTTCTTTCCCAATCTGTACGCATTCTGTTTTCTTGTCTTACTGCATTAACTAGGTTTCCCAGTACAAGGTTGAATAGGAATGGTTAGCGGAGACATCCTTGTCTTGTTCCTGATCTTAGGGAGGAAGCATCTAGTTTCTCATCAGGTATGGTATTAACTGTAGGGTTTCTGCAGATGTTCTTTATCAAACTGAGGAAGCTCCCCTTTATTCCGAGTTTGTGGTGAGTTCAACAGGTACTGGATTTTGTCAAATGCTTTTTCTGTACCCACAGACATGATCATATAATTTTTCTTCTTTAGCCTGTTGATGTGATGGATTACATTAACTGTTGAATGTTGCACCAGCCTTGTATACCTGGAATAAATCCCACTTGTCTGTGGTATATAATCCTTTTTATATATCGTTGGATTCAATTTGCTAATATCTTGTTGAGGAGTTTTCCATCTGTGTTCATGAGTTACACTGGTCTGTGATGTCTTTTTTATATGTCAACAGGCTGAGAAATCTCGGAGCCATCAGTCAGTTCCACGTAAGTGGTAATCAGTTTAATCAGATTATTGTTCTTCTAAAACCTAAACAACAACTGTGATGAGGTAAAGACATGACGGTGCAGAGGGAAAACATGAAACACTCAGAAATCAAGGCAGGCATCAGCCAGCTGTAGCAGCTCAAAAGCATGAAAAGCTGTAGTTTATACTGTTTTCCTTATTTTTGAAGTTGTGAATCAGAGGAGGGAGAAAGAACGAACCAGTCCAGGAAGATGAGGGATAAGATATGTGAGTGCCTGAAACTATTTTCTTTAATAGGTTTTGTGAGATAAAACAGCCTTGTCAGATTTTTAACTTAAAAATAATGGGGGTCTAAGCCCCCAGTTCCACACTCAGACCCTGTCTTCTGGGTCAGAGATGGTAAGGCTCTGTAGCACAAAAATTTTTCTACCCAGATCTGCTCCCTCCCCTCAGTTATCAATTTGATAATTTCAAACCTGAGAATTTTTTTTAACCACAGAAAACCATCTTCACAATTTTTGCCAACTCTAAATTGTACCATTTACTTAATAAATTCCATAAAGTTATTAAAATTAATTTTAAAAGGAAAATTTTATATCTCCATCATTAATCTTACCAAATACAGAAGCTACACATTAACATACACTAAAAACATAACTCCTAAAATTAAAAATGTTTATCCCTCTACCACCTAAAGTCATCTACTGTGCAACTAGTGGTAAACGTGCCTCATACTTTGAGAAATAATCATCAAATCGAGCCTGCTCCTTCATTTTATAAGTAATGAAACTGAGGACCAGAAAGTAAAGTGAGCTACTTAAGGTCACAGAGCTAATCAGGAGCTGAGCTGGAGCCAAACCTCTCTCTCTTTCCTCCACACACACCAACTCTTCACCCACCTATACTACTGTTCTTTCCCCTTTTTTAAGAAAAGGAAGAAGGTATCTTATTTATTAACTTTTCAGTCAGCTTTCTCCAAATTGCCTTTTTTTTGGTAGGCCGTCTAACTGGCTCAAAACTGAACTCGTGCTGGAGTAAAGCTGACTTGGCTAGAGAACAGGGACAGGAACACCAAGGGACAGTAGCCAGCTGCCCTGTGCCTGAAAGCGAAGAGGGGTTTTTACCTCAGGGCTCAGGATGTTTGAAAAGTCATGAGAAACCTACCCCTACCCACTCAAGGGACAGCTCAGCTGCCTGGAACCTGTGATGTCCTCTGCTATTGGCTGCATACAGCTGAGGACATTCGGAGGGTACTCAGAATGGTGCTCTCAGAGTGTTCCCCAAACTAACAAGCAATTTTAAAAAAGAATATAAGGTGTGTTAAGTGGGTTTTTAAGAATGGTATTCTGAGCTTAATGCTGACCAAAAACAGAGAACTAATTTACATGTGGAAGTGTCCCCCCAAAAAAAAAAAAAAAAAAAAAATTTTTTTTTTTAGAGGAAGTGAGTAGAAACAAAGGTAAGGAAAACTGTCCAGTCTGAAATGTGCTAAACTTTAAGAAAGGAAGTTTCAAAAAGTTTACAAAAAGAGAAAAATTTAGTATATTCTGATAGTCACAGTCTCTGGAAAAAACTCCACTGGAGAACAAAATAGTTGTAATATTTGAAAAAAATAGTGGTTTCAGGTAGCCACCAACAAAAAGGAAAAAGAACAGATAAAGTGGAAATACATAAAAGTAGGACAGAAACCTGCCCATAACTGCCCCCTTTTTTCTTCCATGCCCCTCTGTCCACTCAGATCCTTTTAGGTCCAGCTCACCCCTTCTCCACAAAGCACCTTTCTCCTATGCTGACTTACATTGACTGCTCCTCTTCCAAACTCTACATACTTGGCAATTATTCATATGCTGCTTTGCCCCTCCCAATTCGACTCTAGGCTCTGAGACGGCAGCGCTCATGTCAAACATACCTTGGTGTCCCCAGAGTACCTAACTGTGCCTCTTGCAGAGTAGATAAATAAATACATGCTGAGTCAAAGAAGCCAACGAGAAATCATTGTTCTTAGAGGAAAGGGAGACTAGGGAAGGCATAAAGAATACAGAATCTGAACATGCACCACAAACTGTACTACACCCAAATCAATTCAAATCAACTGAGTTACAAGTAGAATCAACAGGCACAGTCACCTGAAATTGCAAAAATAGTACAGTACCTGCAAAAGACTTTCTATGGCATGAAAACCTCGAATTAAATTCAGAGCTCCACATAAAAGACTGAGGATAAATGCCACAATCCCTGACAGAGTCGCTGGTTCCAGTCGCTGGTGAGCTGGAAAAGAAATGGTTAGAAATGAACACCACTATCGCATGTCAATACCTAAACTTATGTAAAATGAAATTCCCTTCTCAATTTAAATGGGTCAAACACGGATTAATCTTCATAAAGTTATTTATTAAGATATTAGTAATTATTTTTTTTAAATGTCTGACAAAAAGATAGTTTCATTGCCCCGAACTCAAGCTCAATCAACTTCTTTTTCTCTACTTTTTTAACAGACATCTAATGTGCACTTGGGGTATACAGGCACACATCTGGCAGTGAATCATGTAAAAAAAAAACAAAAAACCTAACTGCCTAAATATGTCTGCCATTTGCAAGGAGTTGCAAATATTTGCAAAGGTGACTTTGCCTGAAAGATCACTGCATAATTCCTACTTTTTCTGAAAACGCTTAGATAATATTTTTAAAAAACAAACATAGCTTGCTTTTTTTAAGCAAAACTCTTATTTGGGTTCCAGGGCTATAAATATCCTGGGATATAGGTGAAAGCTCCTGTATAATCACCAATCTGAACTTCACAATAGAATGGTCCTATAGCTATGAAGTTCCTGATCTCTGAAGACCACTTGAGGACCACTACAAATGATAAAACACTAGCTGAAGAAGTGACCACTTCATCTTCACAAATGCATCCCCTTATCTGTCAGGGCTTGAGCAGTGTAAGATATTTAGTTATACGACAGTTTCACTTTATCATCGTCTTGGGCTTAACAGAATTAACAACTGAGTCTAAATGAAAATACAAAACTAAATAATCATCTAGACCTCAAAAAAGAGACAGAAGGAAAGAGAGGACAACAGAACTACAGTTAGATCATTTTATTTAAATCACTGAAGTGTAAAAAGCCCTAACAATGAAGTTAATGGGGTGGAACATTAATATAAGGAAAGGCTTAAATCTTTGCAACTTATATTCAGCCATTACAGCAGAAAAGCTTCCCTAAACAGTTCACAGAGACACAAAACCCCACATATCACAAGAAAGTATTTGTTCCTCAAGTTCAGCAGAAAATGCTAAGATGGGAAACATTTTCTGTACTTTCTTCTGTGCCTAAGCTGATTGCTGGGTCTCTCAATCAATTTCCTTGAGATTTTAATATGAAAACAAAAAATTAAATATCTCTATAAAGTATTAATACCAAGTTTTATTTCAGTTGAGAAAAAAAAACTCACAATTTAAAAATCTATTCAACTAGTCTACCAATTAGTCATGTTTTGTATCTCCTGTCCAACCCTACCCATACCCTCTCAGTAGTAAGGAAAAACTGGCCCCTAATAAAAAAAGAAATCCTTAATATGGGCCTCAAGCATAAAACTACCTGACTACTAAACAGATTACATAAATCGTACTTCTAAAGTATACACACAAGTTTACCTTAACAAAAAACCCAAATAATATTCTGTATTATAACTAAAAAATCTTAGCTGTTTATGGTCAAGTATGGCCATTCTTGAATGGGAAAATATTACCATTTTAAGGTGTTGATCAATGTCTATTTAAGAAATAACTGAGTATATAAATTAACGTTTCTAATATTTATCTCTTGGCCTTAGAACACTCTCCTTATAATTATAACATACCATTTATTATTAAAATTATTTCAAAATGACCAGAAATATTTTTAAAAGCATGAAAGCAAATGACAAGTCTCTTTTAACAAAGACAAGGCATGTATTATGCTGAAGGACAGGCTGGAGCTGTGCCAAATCACTGTGGGAAAGAAATTTTCAATTTTCAGATTCACCCACTCCCACCCTATCTCCTTCCTTAGGACCGGTGGGAATGATTACCAAGAGAAAACTCCATCTGCATATAACATGAGGGTGACACTCCCTAAGGACAACTTCTCATGTTAACAACTGAACAAGATACTTAATCACATTTTAATGTATTATGTGCTATCTGCTACTTTCTTTTTCAGTGAAACAAATTTTAGATTCATTGTTATCCACAAATGCTTACTTCACACTTCAATTTGGCACCATGATAGGTACTATTAGGTACAGAGTAAATTTGGAACAGTAACAAATGAGGGGCAACGTAGAAAAAAAAAGTTACTGAATCCAAAATAGTGTTACCTGGTCAGTTTTTGTTGTTTTTGCTATTACTGTCTTTTGCTACAATGCCTTTTCTTTAATTAGTCTCCTTGAGCCCAATAATGGCATTTTCATGCCAAAATTAAATTTTGTATGAGCCAATAATTAATGCAGTTTAGAAAAGTTCCTAAAGAAGTAAATCTCTTGGAACCAAAGGCTATTGCTTATAGGGAATTAATATATTTACTCAGCAAATACCTTTTAGCATGATTCTGTGTAAGACGTTGTGCTTTAGAAAATACAATAAACGATTTACACTGCACAATCTGCCCTCAAGATACTTCAGTCTTTTGAAGGGAATATAACAGAAAAGCCTGTAAAAGTAATAAGCACTCTAAACTAAAAGAGTTTAAGAAATTCTGAAGAGGAGGGGCGCCTGGGTGGCTCAGATGGTTAATCATCTGTTTTTGGCTCAGGTCATGATCCCAGGCTCTTGGGATCAAGTCCTGCATCGGCTCCCTGCTCAGCAGGGAGTCTGCTTCCCCACCCCTACCCTCCCCCGTCCCCCTGCTTGTACTCTCTGTCAAATAAATAAATAAAATCTTAAAAAAAAAAAAAGAAAGAAAGATAAAAGAAAAAAAATTCTGAAAAGGAAGATAACTAGGGGGAAGGTGGTGATACAGGAGTGGTAAGAAAACCAGGGAAGATCTTTAAAGACGGTTAAAATTTAGACAGGCACAAATGGGAAAACTGCATTTCCACAGAGAAAAGAATGTGAGCATGGAGGTGGAAATGAGACGCAAATAATAAGAGCATGAACAACAATAACAACTACTACTACTACCTCTGCTAATCTTACTAATAGTGGCTGTTCTCAATGTACCGGGCACAAGCGCTTATATACATGATCTCATGTCACCCCTCCAAGAACCCACTGCAGTAGGCACTATAATTATCCTTATTTTTTCAGATGAAACGAAGGTTTAGGGAGATTAGGTAATTTGCCCAAAGTTAAGTAAATGAACTGGGATTTAAACCCAGGTAGCCTGACACTAGAACTCATGTTCTTAACCACTTTGCCACTGGGCATTGTTACTGGTTTTGTTTGGCTTAAAAGGATGTTTATGAAGAGTAGGAAGAAATAAGGTCAGAAAGGGGGGTTGAAGCTAATTAATAGACAGCTGGAAATACTAGACTAAAAATTATGAACAAGTTAGACAATGGGGAAACACTGAAGAGCAAGACACCAATATAATTAACGCTATGCTTAAGAAATATTAATCTATCAATGTGCTGTAAGGAGATTAAAAGCAGGAAGACAAATAATATTTTCTCAGTGCTTTCTTGGTAGGTACACTTTGTCCCACTTATCCTTCAAAATGCAGTACTTCATAAGGCAGGAATGACTAACTTCTCGGTGTCTGAATTTTTTCATCTGTCAGTGGAGATGTTAAATAATCTGCTATAAATCAGACAGCTAGTAAGTGTCATCTTCACAATTGGCACTTGGGTCTACAAGACTACAAAGCCTATGCTCTTTCTACAAATCTACCTTAGGGAGTCACTGCAAAAGACTGGCTGATATGAGGGCCTGAATTTGGAAAGTGACAGCAGGAATGAAGAAGAAAGAGGTGAGCGATATTACTGGGGTTAAAACTAGTAGACATAAGAACTATTTAGATATGGGAAACAAAAGGGAAGAAAATTAGATAAAATGTCAAGGTTTTAAGTGTGGATGATTAGAAAGTTAATGGTGCTACCAACAAAGTGACTGGAAGAAATTCAGGTTTGATCAAGAGTGGAGACATTTTAAACGTATCAAACTTGTAGTGATAATGAGGCGTGTTCAACCAGCAACGGAAGAACGGAAGAGTAGCAGAGCTGGAGAAACAGATGAGGTTTGTATCTGAAAGGAAGGGCTGGGGTGAGATTACTAAGGAAAGAAGTAGGCTAAGGGCAAATCTTTGGCAAACAGTACCTTCACAGGGAGGATGAGGAGTCAGGAAGACAGATTTAGGAGAAGAGGAAGAAGAGCGAGCCTCAGAAGCCTAGGAAGGGGAGGCCATCTGGAAGAAAGATATGTATATCAATGCCTGTGGACAGGCCAAAGACAGTCTGAACTCAAAACAAAAAAATATTAGATTTATTGACTAAAAGATGGTTGTTGACCCTTTATAAAACAGTTTTAGAAGAGTGAAGGAAAAATTCAGACCGCAAGATGCTAAATAACTGTTGATGGTAAGACAGAGAAGCAGTGTGTGAATGCTACCACCGTTGAAGAAAACCAGGATGACAGCCTGACAGATAGGACTGAGAAATAATTATTTTTCCACTGTAATGCAGGAGAGGAGGGAGATCTGAATACATTTATAAGTAGAATGAAAAAAATTCAGTGAAGAGGAAATAAGAGTCAAGAAAAAGGGAAAATGATGACAGAGAATACCAGAACAATCATTAAGATTCAAAATGATGGTACCATTCTAAACTTCAAACATCATCATAATACCACAATGCCTATGCTTTGAGTAAAAACAAAGTTCAGGAGGTACAGTCATTCAATGATGGCCCAAATATCTGGAGAAACAGGTTTTAGAACATACAAGAGAAATGTTAGGTCAATTCCATCTAAATGAGCATAATTTATGACTAAATGATGACTGAGGCTAATTGTATGGTATTAAAAACACTATTCTCTTCACCAGTGAGGCCCTCTCTCACATCATTACCTGTCAAAAGCCTGTATGTCCTTCAAGGCCCTGGGGCTTAAAAGTGGTACTTCCTATTTATCTCTGTTTATCTCTTTTGGAACATGTATCACATTCTATCTTGTATTTTACTTATTGGCGTGTGTGTGTGCGCGCATGTGTGTGGGAGAGAGAGAGAAAGAGGGAGGAAGAGAGAAGAGAGAAAGAGAGATCAGGAAATTTATTTGCCTTGTGGGACAACTGCCA